AGACCTTAATACAGGCTTAGGCAGATACTTGTTAGTCATGTGACATTGGCTGGGCAGGTCACTTAAACCTTTTTAAAGTTTAGTTTGGTCATCTGTAAATGGGAGTAATAAATGCCTGTCCTGACTGCCTCCCAAGGTTGTCGCAAAGATCAAATGAACTAATCTTTATGAACTATTTGTAAAGCACATTCCTTCGTTATTCTGACATTTGTGCAAAGGGTTAAACACATTAAAGTACATTATTGTAGATAAGCTCATTTCTGTTCATAGTTCCTTTAATTTATCAAGGTTGTTTAGCCTTGGGAAACAGAATTTATAGCAGAAAATGATTTAAGTTTTATGAACTTGGTAGGGAAAAATTCTGTGGATTGGAAAATACAGATGCCAGAAGGACGAAGAAAATACAAGGTCATCACCAGAAAGACATGTTTGGATGAACCGCTCATTGCCGTGTTGGTAGTTGATTCAGTGCCTGGCTGTGATTTGAATGATTTTATTTTCATTTTTATAAAGCACAATGAATTTAGCTTTAGGAGACAGCCTAGGCCTCTGCTGCAAGGATATGAAGCTTCTATAAAATCAGAAAGGCTGGTATTTAAGGGGAAGATATTTTCAAGTTGGGGGTCAGAGGAAGGGGGAATTTTCCAAACAAAAGGAATTCTGGTAAGAAGCCACACAGGTGAATCGTGAGAAAATTTGGGAGGACTAAGAGAAGACCAGGGAATGTAAGTTCTTGGCTCTATGATAGGGTAAACTTTTAAAGTCACTAGACTAAGAAAAAAAAATGCTTACCTAGCTGAAATAGAAACCAGAGGAAACTGACAGTTTTGGAAAGGGTTGTTATCAAATGTGCATATTTTTGCTGGTTGGTATGCTGTTTGTGACAGCTTTTTTTTTTTCCTGTGGAGACAGGGTCTCATTACGTTGCCCAGGGTGGGTGGTCTTGAACTCCTGGCCTCAAGAGATACTCCTGTCTTGGCCTCCCAAAGGCTGGGATTACAGACATGGGCCACCGTGCCCTGCCTTGTGATAGCTTTTCATCTCAAGTTTTCTCTTTTTTAAATAATCTTCTGTGGGGCTTATCTGGATCGGGGCTCATTTATCCTCCATTTGGTGCATTTTGTTCTTGAGAAACAACAGATAATTTTAGTGATATTTGAGGCATAACAGAGAATATTTTAAAAATTCTGTGGAAAAGATAATGTTACATGTTAAAATCTTTACTGAAAATGAATCTCGTGGTGAACTTTCGATTTTTGGAAACTACATTCCTGCATGGTTTGTTTATTCAAGTATGCTCATTAATTCTGCAAAAACGTATCGTGTGCCTACTGTGTTCCAGGCATGTGCTGGAGATGGAGTAATGAACCAGACAGCTCCTGCTTTCATGGAGCTTTTGTTCTGTCGGATTCTGAGGTCTTCTGCTTTCCAACGTGTGTACAAGTCAACCATGATTTTTACCTGTCACAACACAGATTGTTTCAGTGGCTTGGTTTATTGAGCTTCAGCTTTTTAATCAGTGACCCTTTTTATAGAATTTTAAACTGTATTTATATATCACCAGAATACCTATTCAAATGTGATGCCAAATTAGGAGACATCATTGACTGCAGATCCTAAAATTTTAAGGTGATTCCATACTCAATATCAGAATCCATCTAGACTTCCTTTTGGGATGGTATTTGGAAGTTTCTTTAGAATTCCAAGTTATACTAAATACTTTAATAAATTCTTTAAAGATGTTTGCATAGACAAATGCAGACCGTATGAAAGTTAGCTTGCAGCACTTCCACACATTATAATAAGACAATAATATTTTCTGGGACTCTAATCACTCGTTTTCTAGGCGGTTATGTAGTTTCCCCCACTTGTCCTGAAAACCTGAGATGAATGCAGTCAGAAAACCCTGAGATGGAAGCCTTTAGAGACTGGTAATTAGTTCATTTAGGGATTGTAAGTAGTATCTTCCTGGTGAAGAAGCTGATTTTTTTGCAGCCTAATTTAGGGGCTGGTGATACTCAGTCCTCATCATATCACCTCTTTTGAGGATTATCCCACGAAAAAGGTTTCTTCTAATAGGAATAAAAATCCAAGTACTTGGCTGTAATTAGTAGGAGGAAATGTAAGATTCTAGGACTGAAGTTTTTTTTTTAATGTGAAAAGAGAGACAAGATAGTTACCTGCTTTGCTTCCCTGGGGAATAACAGAAATAGCCACCCATGTGTACATAGCTTCCATGTGGATTGTCATCTTGACGTTGTTCAAAATATAGATTGCTGATTGAGGGTTTAAATGGGTTCATTCAGAGCAAGTAAAACAAACCCTCTGTTCCTCACTGCAGGGCAGGCAGTGGCTCCTTTACAAGCTGCTAGAGGTTTTGGGGCAGCTTCATAGGAAACGAAGCTCCTTTATGTTCCAACTTTTGGCTCCCCCTGAGAAAGGGGGAGCTGGACCTCAACATTGTTTTAGAACTCACAAGTGCTTAAATGTTTGAGGGTGCGGAGGGGCAGTAATAGACTTTTTCTATTGTTCTTTCCCTTAAGCTGGAAGTCATTCCTTTTTTTTTTTTGATACAAAGTCTCGCTGTGTTGCCTGGGCTAGAGTGCCCTGGCGTCAGCCTAGCTCACAGCATCCTCAAACTCCTGGGCTCAAGGGATCCCCTTGCCTCAGCCTCCTGAGTAGCTGAGACTACAGGCATGTATCATGCCCAGCTAGTTTTTTCTGTTTTTAGTTGAGACAGGATCTCCCTCTTGCTCAAGCTGATCTCAAACTCCTGAGCTCAAGCGATCCTCCCACCTAGGTCTCCCAGAGTGCTAGGATTACAGGTGTGAGCCACCGTGCCTGACCCTGGAAGTCATTCTTTTTTTTTTTTTTTTTTT